CGATGCCCGAGCGGTTAATGGGGACGGACTGTAAATTCGTTGGCAATATGTCTACGCTGGTTCAAATCCAGCTCGGCCCAATAATTCGCTGATCCGCCATAACATAAAATGCCCATTTTTTTGTATTTTCTTTTCCAGAAAAGCCAAACAAAAAAAATTAGGGAAGAATAAAAAAGTCCAATTTTCGGATATATGCATCCCTACCGCTATTTGTTTTTTATTTGTTCTATTTATTTAGTTGTTCCCATAAATTCTGACCTTGATAACGCTCTAGATTCATATCAGTATCATTAAATAGAAAGTTTAATGAAAAGAAAGAGTAAAGTAAACAAAAAAGACTCTTTTTTTTTTCATTTTTAAATGGATCGATTTATTTGGCAATAACGAAAGGATTACTAGTTACTAGTAATCCGCGTTGCTCTCACTTAAGTGCATACCCGTATGGATATCAATATATCACTCGCGCCTTTGTTTGTTACAAGTTTGTTACAACACGGCGATTCGAATCGAAAATATAAAAAATGGCTTGAATGAAATCATAAGACTATCTATGCTGTACACTTTTCTTTATTTCCCTGGGATTGTAGTTCAATTGGTCAGAGCACCGCCCTGTCAAGGCGGAAGCTGCGGGTTCGAGCCCCGTCAGTCCCGATGGATACAATTAAAAAAATACATCAATTGATCCCTCCGTTTTCTGTCAAAGGGGATACAAATGATAGAATTTCATTCCCAACGATATCTTTTTTTTTTCCTTTCTATTTTTTGTTGGGGTTTATTTGTAAACTATTTGTAAACGGTGAAAGTGGAAAAGCAGTCAGATGATACATCATCAGATGATTGTACAAGGAAGACGGTAGATTATCGAAAAGAAATAGTGGAAAAGAATATATAAATAAAGGAATTCTTTTGATTGGATCAGGAATCCATTTTTGTATTCGGTGTGGATAAAGGATCTTCCTATGTTATACTATTCAATTCTCGACGGTGAATCGATTTGATAGCTTAGATATTGTTATTCATGATATTGATCCGATTCGATGTCATTGAAATGTAAGTCATTGCATTGAATTTACAAGCGACAAATTTATTATCTCTATGGGATTAAATCCCGAGTTATTGCGAAGGAAAAAAAACAATGAAATTATGGAAGTAAATATTCTCGCATTTATTGCTACAGCGCTGTTCATTCTAGTTCCTACCGCTTTTTTACTTATAATATACGTAAAAACTGTCAGTCAAAGTGATTAATTTTAATGAAACTTGACTTTTTATCAAGGATTTAAGAAAAAAAGGATTCCAATTTCACGTCTTAAATAAAATGAATGGACTAGAATCAGCAGTATCCTATAAAACTCGATAGTATGGTAGAAAGATTCATATTTTTTTTCTACCATACTATCTATATCTATTATTGGACTGTATAAAGATACAAGCTTAATATACTTAATATAGATGAATCCACAATATGTATCTTCATACATGTCGATATCAATTAAATATATGTACTGTACATAGTATCTCAATTTTATTTCTTCGCTTGATCTATTTTATTTGTGTTGATTTCAATCAATCTGAAATAATTGAAAGGCAAGTCTTACGATTTTCTAATTCTTTCATTTCATGGATTTGATTCTTTTGATGGATACCGAGATTCCTATTGAAAATAATCAGAAATGAAGGAAAAATGGAATGGAAATGGAATAGGCATATATTAATAAAAAAAAAGATTACTTGGTTATCTTTTTTTTTATTACCATTCAAAAGAAGTAATTCATTGAGCAGCTGATAGATGATCCAACGAGTTCTATGGTAACTTTTCTTCGTATTTCGTTTCGAAAACGAAAAAAGGGTATACCCTGCCGATTTTGAATTTAACTTCTTTTCTTTGATCCATGATATGAAATGAGTCAATAAAGCATGGTATAAATGAAATTCAAATAAAATAAAACAATAAAACAGGGGGTAAGTGTACAATATGTGACTACACTAAGGCAAGATCTTATTAAAAAAAAGAATTACTTTTTTTCTCTTTGAACAGTAAAGAGGGAAGGAAATAAAAACAAGCAAATACAGAAAACAAAGGGGGACTCCTTTCCTTGTCCCTCATTGTCCATTTATAACTCTGGTAAGAGCTGGTTCATCAAAATAGAAAATTTAGGAAGAATTCTTTTTTCTAAGAATTCTTTTTTCTTTTTTAATAAATTGCCTATCATCTGGATCCCTTTTACTTTCGAAATACGAACATGGGAATTATTGAAATGTTTGTTTGATTTTGATTGAAAGGGTGTTATTCATCTATATTATTTGTAGAATACATTACTCCACTAGAATCCAAGAATTTCGAAATGAAGACTAAATAGTTAAAAATAAAGGCTTTGCAAAACGAGTTAGAAAACAATTGATACGGTTTGATTCCTCAACCCAATTAGGAGTACCCCTAGAGCCCACTTCTTCCCCATACTACGAGTGAAAGGGAAAATGTAAAGACTACCATTAAAGC